CAAGAGAGAAAACTATTTTGTTTAGTGATGGCTGTTAGAGAAAAAGTGTTCCTAAGTGCCCCGTTGCCCAGGATTCTGAAAAATGCTGGTATAGCTTCTTGTTCAGCTTGGCCATGCCCTCTCCCTGAATACATCATATACTTACGAGTTTTTGAAGATATCGCCTCTGCTCAAGGCAATTTTCACTTACTAAGTAGATGAGTTATGGGAACCCACCTTGTTTAGTGATGGCTGTTAGAGAAAAAGTGTTCCTAAGTGCCCCGTTGCCCAGGATTCTGAAAAATGCTGGTATAGCTTCTTGTTCAGCTTGGCCATGCCCTCTCCCTGAATACATCATATACTTACGAGTTTTTGAAGATATCGCCTCTGCTCAAGGCAATTTTCACTTACTAAGTAGATGAGTTATGGGAACCCACCCTCTGGAGCTGCCAGGTCCACCCACCTGTCCATGTGGGCTCACGAGAGTGGTGAGTCAAGGGCTTCACAAAAGAAGCGGGTGGCAATAGAATTGCTTGCATTGTGCCCCCAAGACTATCCTTAATCCCACTCACAATTCCTCTCTCTTAACCGAGGCTCAGGAAAGTGACCTCCCATGATCATACAGTAAATTAATGATGATCTTGGGACTTTAAACTCAAAGAATTTCAAATTCCTAGGCTCTTGTCCCCAATCCACCACCCTCCATGGGCGACTGTTGTGCTGTCAAAACTGGAATCCTTATTTAAAAACATCACCTGGATAAACATCCTCCCCTCAACCCTGAATTCTCTTTCTGAACATCTATTCTGTACCCACACACTTACTGCACATCTCTGAAGACCACAGTCACACGGTAGTTGTTTGGAACCTGGATATTCCACACACATCTGGCATTGTTAGGATAGTTTGCAGGGTAGAATGGGCTAGAAAATTGCCCAGATGATTGGGTCAGGAAATCCCCACAGGAATTATTTGCTGTCAGGAAAATTGGAAATGCTGTGAACTCAGAACACAGTGCACCGTTGTCCAGCTGAAGAAGGAATTCCTGACACAATTTCCAAGTCAAGATCCCAAAGGGTAGCCTAGCACTGGCCCAGCCAGGGGAGAGACCCGTGTGTGTGTGTGTGTGTGTGTGTGTGTGTGTGTGGGAAATGCTGTGAACTCAGAACACAGTGCACCGTTGTCCAGCTGAAGAAGGAATTCCTGACACAATTTCCAAGTCAAGATCCCAAAGGGTAGCCTAGCACTGGCGCAGCCAGGGGAGAGACCCGTGTGTGTGTGTGTGTGTGTGCGCGTGTGTGTGTGTGTGTGCATGTGCATGTGTGTGTGTGTGTGTGTGTGTGTGTGTGCACATGTTTATGTGGAGGCCAGAGTCCAACCTCAGGTGTCTTCTCCAGCCCCTGTTGCCTTTGGTTTGGGTGACACAGTCTCTCACTGAGCCCTGAGCTCGCTGGTTGAGTTAGACTGACTACTTAACAAGCTCCAAGTTTCCAACTGTTTCTGTCTCCCTAGCACTGGGATTACAGGTGCATGGCCCCATGCTCAGCTCTTTAAGTGGGTTAAGGGGATGGAACTAAAGTCTTGATCCTGTCTCCCATCCCTGGGATGTTCTTAGGGAAGCCATTGCTGGTCTCACCATCCCTGCTCAGTGGCCTCCTCACTGATGAAAGTGACATTAGGGTGTCTCTGTGAAGGCTTGGAAGGAGCCCAGAACTTACCATTGGGGTTTGGGTAGGTGATGTCAGGAGTCCAAGCTGTTGACAGAGAGAAAATCATGGTCAGTTCTCCTGCATCCACAACACCATCACAGATCCCTGGCTTGCCTGTGCCAGGCACTGTGCCTATCCTGGGTTGCAGCGAGGGGTTGGAGCATTGTAATCATTTGGACACAAAGTGTCAATGAATAGGCTCATTATTCAAGATTTGGAGGCCAGGCCACCAATTCAATACTGTGATTGGATACTGAAGACTCTAACAACTCTATTTAATTCTTTCGTGGACTAATTGAGGGATGGGATTACATAGACAGAGTAGGTCACTGGGGTAATGCTCTGGAAAGATACAACTTGGCCTTAATCCCTTTCCCAAGCCCTCTCCCAATATCTCCCCCTTGCCTTCCCCTCTTGGCTCTGTTCCACCACAGACTTCATATAAGGCATGGAATGGCCACCATAAGGGCAATGAGGTCGATCAGGACCCCAGGGACAACTATAATTCTCTCTCAAATGATAGCCAAAGAGTCACACAGTCTATACCAGGTGAATTCCACATGAAAACTCTCTTGTGGCCTGTCACAGGACTGTTGGACAAGATTATGCCTTCCAGCAGAAATGGCCCAGGCCAGAGCCTCCTAACAGGAGGCAATCTGAACAGCAGGAAAGTACAGTTCAGCAGCACAGACCAGATACTGCAACTTTCTTATCCCGTTGCACCAGGCAGAAGTATAAAGAAAGCTACCTCTTTACCTTGAGAAGATATAGAAGATTCTGGGGCAGCTAGATACTGCTTAGTCCCATGGACCATGTAGCTGCTGGCTGTGATTGTGACTATCACATGGAAAGAGGGACACATAGAGGTTAAGGGACAGCTGCACTTACCTGAACTTGGAGGGAGAGTCGACGGAGTAGCTGTGAGAAAAAGAAACCACGTCAGATGCATTGGCTGTAACACAGACTTTATGCACCACCTTGCTCCACCCTTTGACAGCGCACACAAGGGCCAGGTTGTAGCTCAAATCTGGGCCACACCGCCTCTGCAGGAAACAGCTGGCTATCTTGAGATGCCCAACTCTCTCTTTAGACACAAACCTGAGACTTTAGGTCTCAGGAAGTGTCCAGTGAGTGTCCCACCCTCTGGGAGGCTCACAAAGCTTCAAGCCTTGGGGTCATCCACCTCTACCTTTGACATTGATCTCTCACTATCTGCCGAGAACACCTTCTGCATGTTCTCTGCTGACCACGGTAAGCACCTCCCATCAGTTCTGGCTCTTGACTTTGTAGGGGGAACCAGAATCTCAAGACTCACTGCCCAGGGTCTCCCGCCATAGGAATCAAACATTGCAACCCTAGTGGAGTCAGTCTAATTTCTTATTTGACAACCACAGCATAGTTAAGAAACAGAAGTCTCCGAGTTTAGTGCCCAGTCCCAAATGAGCATCAGTTCTCACAAGGGAACTTAATGGTGTAGTTCGAGTAGTACTCAGCCTGGAACCCTGTCCTCGTCACGCTGCCATCAGTGATGAAGCGAATCGTCATGGAGTTGGATGTCGATGTGTAGGAGCCCCTGCCTCCATCACAGACTCGAACAATCAGAGGGGAACTGAGGTAGGGGCCATCAAAAACTTCAATACATCTTACACCTTCTGCATGTTCTCTGCTGACCACGGTAAGCACCTCCCATCAGTTCTGGCTCTTGACTTTGTAGGGGGAACCAGAATCTCAAGACTCACTGCCCAGGGTCTCCTGCCATAGGAATCAAACATTGCAACCCTAGTGGAGCCAGTCTAATTTCTTATTTGACAACCACAGCATAGTTGAGAAACAGAAGTCTCCGAGTTTAGTGCCCAGTCCCAAATGAGCATCAGTTCTCACAAGGGAACTTACTGGTGGTGTAGTTAGCATAGCTCGAGTAGTACTCAGCCTGGAACCCTGTCCGCGTCACGCTGCCATCAGTGATGAAGCGAATCGTCATGGAGTTGGACGTCGATGTGTAGGAGCCCCTGCCTCCATTACAAACTCGAACAATCAGAGGGGAACTGAGGTAGGGGCCATCAAAAACTTCAATATAATCAAAGCTGCAGCCGCTTTCGAGCCTGAAGAGACAGACATAAAGTTAGGTTTTCTTCTGACCAGAATTGGTGTCAGGACTTTAGATCTCAGGGATCTTTGTGCTGGAAACACTGACAGAGTTCATCATCTGAAAGAAGAACTTGCTTCGTACCCACCTTGGAAGAATTCATTTTCCTAAGACTTCCATGGCTAGTTCTTCATCCTGGTTTATGCTAAGTAAGTCTGAATCTCCCTGATGCTTAAGCTTCTGCTTTACAAAGAGACATACTGCACTGCACAATGACATGGCCTCTAGGATGGCTCAGACAGAATGATGCATGGACAAGGGTGCTCCGTAACATGTCATGAATGATGGTGGGCAGTTATTGGGTGCCAGCCTGTGAACCAGCCTGGACAGCCTTGGCCAGCTTCAGCTACTGTAGTGACCAAGACATGGGAATAATGTATCTGAATTGCTAAGGCAGAGACTTTCAAACCAAGAGAGATCTGGGGAACAGAGAGCTCAGTTTCTACAGTGATTGCCTTGTATGTGTGAAGTCCCGGGTTCAATTCCTGCCACCACATCGCTGGGTGTGGTTGCACATGCCTATGATTCCAATTCTTGAGAGGTGGAGGTGGGGTGAGAAGTTGAGGGCATCTTTGGCTACTTCGAGAGTTTAAGGGCAACATGGGATACCTTGAAACTTGTCTAGATTGCCTTGTATGTGTGAAGTCCCGGGTTCAATTCCTGCCACCACATCACTGGGTGTGGTTGCACATGCCTATGATTCCAATTCTTGAGAGGTGGAGACGGGGTGAGAAGTTGAGGGCATCCTTGGCTACTTCGAGAGTTTAAGGGCAACATGGGATACCTTGAAACTTGTCTCAAAAGAATAAGAAGGAAGAGTATGAGGAAGAGGAGGAGGAGGAAGAGGAGGAGGAGGAGGAGGAGGAAGAGGAGGAGGAGGAAGAGGAGGAAGAGGAAGAGGAAGAGGAGGAAGAAGAAGAGGAGGAAGAGGAGGAAGGGGAGGAGGAAGAGGAGGAGGAGGAAGAGAAAGGGAGGAAGATTGGAAGGTTGAAAGCAGTAAGGAAGGAATGAAGAGAAGAACTTTCTTGTCCAGTGATGGTGTGGAGAAGCAATCCTGGGCACCCTAGTCAGGATTCTAGAAAATATTTGCATAGCTCTTTTGGGGAGCTTTACCACTCCCCTCCCTGAATAAACCATATATTAATGGGCTTTGGAGATATCGCCTCTGCTCAAGGCAAGTTTCACTTGGAAGTAGAGGAGTTACATGGACCCTGTCCTCTACAGCTGCCAGTGTCCCACCAACCTGCCCTTGGGACTGTGGAAAGAAAGGGAGAGGTGTGGAAAGGGTTATGGCGCAGAAGCAGTTGTTGATAGGATTCCTTGTATTGTGACCCCAAGACTATCCCTACCCCTAGCCACAGTTCCACCCTCCCACCGAGCAAAACTTTCCAGGCACTTTCACATATTCCAGTGAACTTGCTGATCCTTGAGACAAGGAATGCTGGCGTTGTAGTCCCTTCTTGTGACTGACAGTCAGGAAAAAAGTGACCTTTTGTGGTCATACAACAAATTAATGACAAATATGGGCCTTTACACAAGTGTTTTTTTTAATATTTTATTTATTATTTTTATTTTATGTGTATGCATATATTGCCTGAATGTAGTTAAGTGCACCCGTGACCTGCAGGCCCGTGGCGGACAGAAGAGATTGTTGGATCCCCTGAAACTGGAGTTATGGACAGTTGTTAGCTGCCATGTGGGTGCTGGATTTCAAAGCCGGGTCTTTTGCAAGAACAGTCAGTGTTCTTAACTCCTGCCCTACATAAGTGTTTTCTAATTTTTGGCTTCTTGTCCCCAGTGAACTAACTTTCATGGATGCTGTTGTGCTGTCAAAAATAGAACCCTCATGTAAAAGCATCACCAGCTCCTGAATTCCAAAGCACCCTGCATTTTCTTTCTGGATATTTGTTTGACACCCACATACTTACTGTACATCAGTGAAGACGACAGTCACACGGTAGTTGTATGCGACCCGGATATTCCACACACATCTGGCATAGTTAGGATAGTTTGCAGGATAGAATGGGCTAGAAAAGTTCCCAAAGGGTTGGGTCAAGAAACCTCCACAGGAATAGTTTGCTGTGAGGAAAAAACAGAAACGCTGATGGACCCAGAACACAGTGTCCAGCTTAGGGAGGAATTTTTGACTCAATGTCTGAGTCAGGAATCCAGAATATGATTGCCTAGCCCTGGCCCAGCAGCCCAAGGTCAGGGGAGAGACCCTCCAAGGGGGCTGTGTGTGTGTGTGTGTGTGTGTGTGTGTGTGTGTGGTGTGTGGTATATGTGTGTGGTGTGTATGTGTATGTGTGTATGTGTGTGGTGTGTGTGTGTGGTGTGTGTATGTGTGTGTGGTGTATGTATGTGCGTGTATGTATGTGTGTGTGTATGTGTGGTGTGTGTGGTGTGTATGTATGTGTGTGTGTATGTGTGTGTATGTGTGTGTATGTATGTGTGTATGTGTGTATGTATGTGTGTGTGTGCATGTGTGTATGTATGTGTGTGGTGTGTGGTGGGGGTGTCATATGTAAATGTTGTCTTCCTCCGTCTCTATTCACCTTGTTTTGTGAGATGGTGTCACTCACTGAATCCTGAGCTCGCTGTTTGAGCTTGGCTGGTTGGCTAGTAGCTCCTGGGATCTGTCTGCTTGCACCTCCCCAGTGCTGGGATTACAGGTGCATGCCCCCATGCTCAGCTCTTTATGCAGGTTAAGGGGATGGAACTCAGGTCCTCATCTTGCACAGCAAGCACTCTACTGACTGAGCCATCTCCTAGCCCTGGGATGTTCTTAGAGAAGCCATTGCTGGTCTCACCATCCCTGCTCAGTGGCCTCCTCACTGATGAAAAGTGACATTAGGGTGTCTCTGTGAAGGCTTGGAAGGAGCCCAGAACTTACCATTGGGGTTTGGGTAGGTGATGCCAGGAGTCCAAGCTGTTGACAGAGAGAAAATCATGGTCAGTTCTCCTGCATCCACAACACCATCACAGATCCCTGGCTTGCCTGTGCCAGGCACTGTGCCAACCCTGGGTTGCAGTGAGGGGTTGGACTCACACCTTGCCCTCTGAGCCTCACAAGGAGATGACAGAATGAAATACCAAGGAATGAGGTCAGGATGGAGGAAAGACCAGTGATGTGTTGGAGCCCAAACATCGGGAGAGAAGGGCTTCAGTGAGGGAGGAAGGGCATTCCAGCTGAGGGAGAGCGTGTGAAACAAGCAGTTTGGGGAGAGTGTCCCACTGGCTTTATATAAAAGTCTGTGACAATTCAGAGAGGTTTGCAGAAAGGAGGAAAGAGGGACAGCCTTCTTGTCATTAGATGCTTCATGACAAGTGATTATCTTCATGACCTGAGACCTCATGTTTCCATCTTCAACACTTTATAACATCACTTATTTATAAAGTAGACAGGTTTTTTACCCTAATATTATCAATTTCATAACTAAATTTAATATAGAAATAGAGTTGAAAATATGCAGTCATTAAGTCTTATTGTATAGGAATCTTTTCAATGCCAATAAGATACTAACTTTAAGACTATTGGAAAAGTACTATTATATTCATTTAAGTAAAAATAGATACTATAAAATAGATGTTAAAGTATACCATAGAGTGTGTGTGTGTGTGTGTCTGTGTGTCTGTGTGTATGTGTAGAGAGAGAGAGAGGGAGAGAGCTTCCAAAATGCCAATAGTAATTACGTGTTTAATCATTCATATATCCTTTCTTTTTAAAACGATGTATTTATTATTTTTATTTTATGTGCATGAATGTTTTCCTTTATGTTTATCACATCCATGCCCGGTGTCCAAGGAGGTCAGAAAATGACATTATATGGCCTGGAACTGGAGATACACATGGCTGTGAGTTGGCATGTGGGTGCTGGGAACTGAACCCAGGTCTTTTGCAGGAGTATCAAAAGCTCTTAACCATTGAGTCATCTCTCCAGCCCCTTTCTTCAATAAATATTTTTTTGTTTTGCTTTTTGAGACAGGATCTTGCTCAATAACGAAGACTGGCCTGAAACTTGCAGGGATTCTTCCTCCATATCCCAAGTTCCAAGAACGAGCCATCACACTGGGGTTTTTCAATAAATAATCCTCAAGTGGTAGACACTTCAGGTAGTAAGGATGCAACCATGAAAAAAGCAGGCATGGCCCTCATCCAAAGGCCCTTGCTCACTTTGCCAGAAAATATAAGCATAATCTACAAAACACACATCCAACTCTGTTCATCGCCAGCTTCAACATTTGGACAGCTCCTCTGGCCCCAGCATAAATTGGGAGCTTTACCTCACCTCCCCATTCCCCCCTCAGTCCCCAGCCTCTTCTTTCCCATTCATAGAGTCAAGATGTTTCCCACTGGTGCCTCCCAAGCATCTCTTCTGATGGGAAGACACTTTAGTGATTGAACTTGCTTCCCTTTTAAGTCTCAGCTTAATGTGTCACAGTCTCTTAAGTCCCCAATCAAGAAAGATCTCTGCTAGAGTTTCTTACCACACACTGGGCCTCCCCAACACAGTGCCTGTCACAGCTACAATTACACAGTCAATTCTACATTAAATATTTAGGTGTGTGAACCGCCTGAGACAGGAGATCAGCATGTCTCTCTCCTCAATCTGGGCTCTTGCGACCTCTCTCTTGGGGATTTGACCACTCAAGACAAGATCTCAAGGCACTTAACAGTAGAAAAGTAAATATCCACCCAGTACAATCTGTACACTTGTGCTGTGCTAAAAATTAGTCTAATAATCTACTTCTGTCCTAAAGAAGAAATTGTCATAAGATGTAGAAAGATTATCTTACAAATACATTCACCACAGACTTATACCAAAATTTAAGTCATTTCAATATTCAGCAACTCAGGATCAGCTAAATAATTCATGGCACAGCTCAACAATGGAATGCAATACAGGCATTTTATATGATAGTGAGAGAGGATCTCAATGATGTGCGGAAATGTAGTAATATCCTCGAGGGTTGTTTTTTTGTTTTTTGTTTTTTTTCAGTTTAGAGATAGAACCAAGGCATTGTGTATACTAGATAAATACTCTATCACTGACCTAACCCCCAGCTAAGCATTCACTTTTTAAGAACCACAGGCAGGTTTTTAAACAGACCACATTGTACAATGACAGGGAAGCTTGTGAAATGATGCACTGTTTTCTGTCCCCTTCTTCCTTCCAAAGCTTTGGAAGTATTTCAGAAAAGAAAATCCTTGGTTCTTTATGAATTTCTAACTCAGGGGTTTGAATGAAGAAGCAGAGCTCCTCATCCTCCAAGAGAGTGTGAAGGGTGTGTGCAGACTGGGTATGGAGTGCAGTGGGCACAGCAGGGGTAGATGGGGTGGGGGTTGAGACCAGCTGGGGCAGGAGGAATAGTTTAAGTTGAGCCAGGTTGTGAAACGAAAGGCCCTGAATATCACCTAGTCAATGAGGTACTTACTTGTAGTTTCTGGAGCTGTTGGAGTCCACCAATCTAGAACAGAAATGAAACTGTTTAAGATTTTTTTAATACTATGTAAATACCCTGCTCAGGAGATAATGACAAGGACAGTGTCTGTATTCAGTTCAGAAACCATGTGACGCGAATCCACCACATCTCTACCCACGTCCCCCAGTATACCCTCCTTCAGTAATTCCCCTTCTAATTTCTTTTTCTCTTTTAAATAATATTTTTATTGATTTCTTGAATTCCATACAGGCTCAGGGATCATTGTGGAAGAGGGGATGGAAAGAGTATTAGAGCCAGAGGTAGTGGGTGAACACAAGGAGACCTTTTTTCTAGAAATAACAGGGCAGTGACACATATGAACCCACAGAGCTTGTGACAGCATGCACCAGATCTGCACAAAACCCAAGCCAGACAAAAGCCCAGCATGGAGGGGAAGGTGGGCAAAGGAGCCTCAGCCCTAGCTGTGGAACTATTGGCAATTGATACCTGCTGGGAGAGGGAGACTTGGTTTTCTTTAAAGGTGAGATGCTGGGTAGGCTCCAGAGTATGAACCCATACCCAAGAGCACTTGAGGATTAGAAATTAGACAGGATAGGATTTAAAAAATAGAGGTCATAAAATGAAGGGGGATGTCTGAGAGGACATGGAGGGAGGGGTTATGAGGATCAGGGTCTGAATATGATCAAAATATATTGTTTGAATTTTTGATAGATGAGAATTTGTCAGTCATCATTTTGATAAATCAAATTGAATCTTTTTCCTTTAGCATGGTGTTGTGACACAAGCCTATGGTTGTAGTACTTATGAAAATGAGGTAGGAGGATCACAAGTTAAAGGTCAGCTTGAGCCACAAAGCAAGTTTGACCTCCAAAAATAAAAACTATAAAATATAAAGAATAATTTCTTTGCTACAGGGCTCTTGAAAGCCTTGACCACACTAGTTGACACTGTCAATAGGCTAGAGTCTGTGACACCTGCTGACACATGTTGCATAGCTTGTCTTCACTGTAACACAGAACAATCAGGGGATGGCACCCCCCAAGGTAAAGGGACATTTTTCCTTTTTTTCCTGTTTTGAGACAGTGTCATGATATGTGGCCCAGGATGGCCTTGAACCCATTATTCTCCCACCTCTGTCTCCATATTGCTGGGATGACAGGCATGTGCCATCACACCAACTCTTAAAAGGGTTTGACTAGACACACACGTGCACAAGTTTTACTAGATTAGGTTCCTAAAATGAAGTTCCCCATGACCAGACTCAGACAGGTGTTCACACTGAAATGAGGGAAGTCTCAAAGCCCCTCCCATCAGGAGGACCTCAGAACAAGCACTGTCAGAAGCAAGGAAAGGCCAGGGAGCTCTCCATGCCTGAGCACATGTTGGAATGATAGGACCAACAACTCAGATTGTCTGCCACCTTAACAAATTACAGAGCCCTCAAGGAGCAATCCCTCCCAGGAAGCCTGCCTACTCCTTCTACAAACCAGAGAGTGTTTCCAGAGGGGAACATTGTTTGCCTGGGAGGAGTTGACCCACCTGGTGTTGAAGAGTGACTTCCTACTGAATCTGCAAGGAGGAGAAGAAAACATGAGTCAGTCTTGGGTCTCAGAAGTGTTGGAGCCACTCAGGATGATAGAAAGGGAAATTTTCTTTTCAGACAAGATCTCATGCACCCCAGGTTGACGTTAAACTCCATACGTAGCCAAAGATGACCTTGAACTATTGATCCTTCAGCCTCCACCTCTGAAGGGCTAGGATGATAGGTATGTGCTCCACAGCAGTGTGTGTGGTGCTGGGGATGGAACCCAGGGCTTTGTGCATGCTAGGCAAGCATTCTATCAACTTGTCACATTGCCAGCCCTGGCAAGAGAAATTCTGAGAGTGCTTGCCCAGTGTACCACTTAGATATGTTCCCTGAGAAGCACCCAGGAGATTTGGGAGGGGATATAAACCTTAAAGGCTAGACTCCAGACAGAGCATTGGGAGAGTTTATTCTTATAACCATGAGGTTGATTGAAATCTCATCTACTGCATGGACAAGATAACATACTGACCAAATTCAGAAAAACTAGCAACATTTAGTGGTGAGTTTCAACTGGGATATATCAGGACTTCATCTTGCTTAGAGGTTTAAGGTAGAAGGTCCATATAGAACAATGTTTTACTGAGAAGAAACACTGGATAAATGTGAATTGTTACCTCAGGGAGGTGACAGAATTATAGGTATAGATTCAACCCCACCCTCATATCTGAACGTGCAGCGCACAAACACATAACTGCAGCCCTATCCCGTTGACCTTCACTCACAGACATTTGAATGGGGTTCTCAGTTAAAGACCAAGCCTTCCCCAAGACAGCACCTTGGTTTGAATATTTCAGTCTCTCCGCACCTCTGGGTTTTAACAACTTCTCCCCCATTACCTATCTATGCTAGATAGCTTCAGTTGTCAACTTGACACAACTGAGGAATTATCTTCATTGGATTGACCTGTGCCCATGTCTGTGGGGCATTTTCTTGATTGTTGAGTGATGTGGAAGGGTCCAGCCCACTGGGGATGGTGCTACCCCCAAACAGGTGGTCCTGTGTTGTATAAGAAATCAGGCTTCACACAGGCCAGAGGACCAAGACAGTAAGCAACATTCTTCCCTAGTCTGTGCTTCAGCTCCTGTCTCCAGGTTCCTGCCGACTTCCCTCAATGGTAAACTGTGATCAGGGAGATGTAAGATGAAATAAACCCTTTCCTCCCCGAGTTGGTTGTGCTCAGTGTTTTCAATCACAACAATAGAAAGTAACTAGGAAACCACCCTCGGTGAAAAGGGAAACTAGAGGCCAGGGCATGTCTCTTCAGCTCTTGTTTGCACTGCGTCAGTGAGGGGTTAAAATGATTGTTGTCCTTTTGGCTTTAGGTCACCACTGAAAATGTCCACAATCAGCTTTCTTATAAGAACTAAAACTGAATCTCAGTGAAGAACTAAAGAGACCAGGAAAATGAGAAACACAAATCCACTGAGTGGTGAAATCCAAATACATTTGGATTTTGATCTAGAAAGAAAATTACCACAAGATAGGAAGAAAGGTTCTTGGCAACTCACATGAGCAGATGACGCCTGCATCTTCATTGTGTCCACAGTTATGGACAAGCCAGCCAGGGTGGGGACAGTTCCACAGGGAGTACTCATATCCTCGGCAGGCCACGTCATCCAGGACAATGGCTCCTGAGCCCTGACCAAACCGGCCACTTCCTAGGGCAGCCACGGCCCAGCCACAGCCCAGCTGCCTGCAGACCACATTGGCATCATTGATGTCCCAGTTGTCATCACACACGGTGCCCCAGGAGCCTCCATACAGGACCTCGACACGGCCCTCACACCGATCAACTCCATTCACCAGCCTCAGGGCCAACCCATAATCGGTTCCTTGAAAGGGAAGATGGCGGTCAGTAGGGAAGTGCTATCAAAACCTCCATGAGATGTCACCTGTTCTCATGAGGAAAAGCTTTCGTTGTGTCCCTTGGTTTCATTGACTAGTAGACAATGGACCTGGGGACCTGGGCAGGTCCTGGATCCTGGAATCAAGGGGATTTTCAGGGATGATAAACCACTACCGAGAGTCTGTTCCAAGAGACTTTGTAATTGCTGGGATGGGTTTGGATCTCTCTAGAGAGAAGAGACACCTGGAGAATGGAACATTGCAATTATGCCCATGTCTTCCAATCTGAAGTTATGGAGCCCAGATGGTAGGGCTGGAAAGATAGCTCAAAAGTTAAGAGTACTGGCTACTCTTACAGAGGACCTGGATTCAGTTCCCAGCACCCACATCCCACATGGTGGCTTACAACTACCTGTAACTCCAGTTCCAGGGGACCACAAGTACTAACAATGAGACTCAGAGCAGGAGCAGGAGTCCCTGAAACACCACTGATTCTATACACACTGCAGAAGACCATCTTATTTGCATCCTTTTGACCCCAAAGTTCTTTCTCACTCAATGCTAATCCTAGAGCCCTTGCACTTTCATGATCTAAAGAGACAGGGAGGAGAAAATATCTGTTCCCACTGTGGCTGATTCTTTGCTAAGGGGTCTGCCTGCTGGAGGCCAAAATGGCACACTCATGTGAAGAGAAGTCCAGCTAGAGAAGATTCTCATTCTCATGGCAAGATTGGAAAGTCTACATGAGCCTCCTTCTGAGTATGCGCGATGGACTGCTGCCCAGGTGGCCCTCCTCAGCCTTCTCTGTGTTAATAACAACCCACTGGTGGTCAGCAAGCTATGGCCCACCAGTATTATAGCCATGAGATCTGCCTGTGTTATCACATTGTCTGATGTTCATGTTTTCACTGGCAAGGTTGATTTATCTGACAAGACCCACTCAGCTACTGGACTGAGAATTCTGTCACTCCTACTGAGCTTAGGAGCTAGTGACTGCAGACAGAATTCCACCTGCAAGAATGTTTGGTGTTTGTTTCCATGTCTTAAAAATTATGTCCAAGTGTTCAAGACATGATGGGCCCCTTTTTTCCTATTTCCTTTACTTCCCTGATTCTTCACATTGGAGCACTCTTCAGGGTAGTTAAATCAGTTGCAGTTATTGCATTTCACTTTAAGGTTGGCCCCGTTCATCAGATGCCTCAATTCATCCAGTCCTTATCGTGATCGTGATCTGGGTATTTATTTTTGCAGTCTATTTGTAAACTGTAAAACTAAAGGTCAGAAGCTCAAGAACAAAGAAAGAAAAAAGATGTCTGAGATGCTTGAGCCTCCTGTGCTGGATAGTTTAGCCATCAACTTGACACACCTGGGTAGAGGGAGCCTCAACTGAAGAATTGCCTCCATTGGACTAGCCTGTGGCCATGACTGTGAGGTATTTTCTTGATTGTTGAGTGATGTGGGAGGGCCCAGTCCACTGTGGGTGGTGCCACTCCTGGGTAGGTGGTCCTCTATTATCTAAGAAAGCAGGTTGAACATGGGCCGGGGAAGCAAGCAGCGTTCCTCTGTGGCCTGTGCTTCAGCTCCTGCCTCCAGGTTCCTGCCCTGAGTTCCTATCTTGGACTCCCTCAGTGATAACTGTGACCTGGGAGACATAAGCTAAATAAACCCTTTCCTCCCCAAGTTGGCACCGGTCAGAGTGTTTTGTCACAGCAACTGAAGGCAAACTAGAACAACTTCCCACTCCAAAGTCCCAGCAACATATCAAGGCCCCCAGGCCTCATCTTCAGTACCTGAAGTAGTGTCTTCCCTAAGCACCTCAAACAGGATCCTACTAGATATGGGTCATGCCCCCAGCTCTTCCAACATCACATCAAAGACTTGGCCATGGAAGGACCTACTTTCTAAGCCAGGAAGCACTTGGGATCAAGGCAGGGACAGCCTTCACTCCTTCATTTGCAAGGCTAAAGTAGAAATGGAGGCTGGGAATGGTAAGAGGCCTTGTTACCTGTTGGAATCACTGTCTCGGAAGTAGGCCATGTATCTGAAAATGACAACAAGAAGAAGGGCTAACGTTAGGCCCGAGGAAAAAGTAGACGCAGACATTCTTCACACCAGGCAGACCTGGGATCGGTAATTCTACCTGTGGCTCATGCACAAGGGTCCAACTCAGGTTCTCATCCACGGGACGAAGGTCCTACTGGACCTCAGACTGCCCCTCCCTCTCTATCAACAGAGGTATTCTTTTCTAGGAGAAGTTCTGTGTGTGCATTTGCTGACCCGTGTGTGAAACCATTGCTCACATTTGGATAAAGACTGTGGCAGGAGCGAAAGGTCAGACTGTGAAACACACAGACTGTGAATCACTTTTCCTGGTAACTAGCGTTACCAGAACATTCCTTACCCCTTCGCCCACGACACACAGCCTCTTCATCTTTCTGGTGGGGTGGTGATCATGGAGAGTGAGGGTGTTTACAGGGTGGAAGTAAGTGGCCTGGCTCACATGGATATTGCTTTCTAAAGAGGGTAGAAGTATGTCCACTTCAATTTTCAGCATGGCTTAAATATAAAAGGGCCAAGCTTAATTGCACAATGACTCTTTTCTTCAGCTACAAACCTACCCAAAATTTGGTGCAAACTTGGGTTGAAGACAAGAAAGTTCTTTCTGAATACTAAGATGCCAAGAGAGGAAGCATGTGCCCCCCACAAAGGGCAGAAGAATGGAGATACCCCATGGCAAGAGGCTGAGACTCACCTGCTATGGTTGGGGGCAGGGTTTGACCAGCTGTGAGAAAGAGAAGGAAGGTTAGACACAGCACCCAGCAGCCCATCTGGCTTTTTTGCAGAAAGAGCTGATGCTCTGCATGTACCCAAATGTGAACACTACCCTAAATTCTAGAGTCATTCCCAGAGCCCCACCCTGTACCCCACAGCCAAGACCTGAACCTCATCGCACATAACTCAGTATCTGGAGTAATAACACCCTCCCCTGGGATAGGCTACAAAAGTCTTTGCATTACCATGTAGGCAATCAGCCAAAAACCATTCTCAACAATGAGTTGCTGAAGACCCACTGGTCACCCTCAGGTTGGGAGGATTCTGTTGGATTCCTGGGACCCGCCTTGTGTTGATGCTACAGTACATTTTTCTCATGGATGGCTCATTAAGAGCACTATGTACTACTACTTTGCCATGCCATACACTCAACTCCTCATCCCTAGCTTCAGCCTGTGATCATAAGTGAGTCCTTGCTCCTAGGTCAGCTTCTGGAGACCCAGAACTATGACATGAAGGAGAACAGAGGGTACATCAAACTTTTCCCACCAAAAGACTCAATCTCTATGAGGGATGCCAGGACCACAGGGGGTAAAGCCAATTGGATGTTCCTCAGATGCAATAATGGATTGTTGCTTTTTCCCTCAGGTGCCTGGATGATAAATTCTGACAATAGTGCCCAGGTACTTCCAAAGAATACTAGGGCACTGCTTGCAGGAGGGAACACACAATAAGTCTAGTATTTCTTCAAGTCAGGGGTCTGTCTGACTTTGCACCTCCAGGGTCACCTGTTCCAAGGAAACTCTAGGGTTGCTAGATAACTGGGTGAGATTTGGACAGGGCTCTGAGAGAGATGATTCAACAATCCAGAATGGGTTCTAATAGTGATGGAGCCCAAATAAAGTTCTGACAGTGGGAAGAATAGCCTAATGAAATCTCAGTGCTGGAAGCAAGACCTAATGATCACTGGGTCCCACCTGAGCAGATGACTCCAGCATCCTCCTGGTGTCCACAGTTATGGGAGAGCCAGCCTCGGTGGGAACAGCTCCACAGGTAGGACTCATGTCCTGAGCAGGCGACATCATCCAGGACAATGGACCCTGTACCCTGACCAAAATAGGCACTGCCCGGAGCAGACACAGCCCAGCCACAGCCCAGCTGCCTGCAGACCACGTTGGCATCATTGGTGTCCCAGCTGTCATCACACACAGTGCCCCAGGAGCCCTGGTACAGGATCTCCACACGGCCCTGACATCGATTGCCTCCATTCACCAGCCTCACAGCCAAACCAGTTTCTGTTCCTGAAGAGACATGATGATTTCTCATTTAACTGCTTCCTGTGTTGATGGTGAAGCTTGTACAGTTTGTGTGTAGCCCCTTCATGTGGTTTAAAGTCCACACAGCAATATTAAATATGACCTCCGTCCCTCCCTGCTTCTTGGACACCCTGTCCTGAAAGGCCCTCAAGCCTTGAATTTCACTTTCACACCCTCATTAGGATGCCTACACCTGCTTCAGATGTTCAATGCGTCTTTGCCACCAGAATGGCCATGGCTTTGCCAGCTGTGTTGACGTGGGTCACATCTGCCCAGGATCGTGTCCAGATATAACTAAGGCCTTTGAGTACAGTGCACTGTCTGAGCCTCTTCTGGACAAAGAAATATGCTGCAGAATCAGGGTGTTTCAAGGTGAGTGAGAGCAGGCAGAACCCTCCTCACACACAGGAGGGCACATTTGCACATGCATCCCTACCAGACACCTTGCACAGCAGTAAACAACAAGACAGTGATGGGTACCCTGGCACAAGACAGACCAGTAGGACAGAATCATGAGCTCCTTCTAGATCCAAAAGCATCTCCACCTGCTCTAAGTATTCTCTACATACCCACCACCCTATCCCATCACACAGTCCTGAGGAAATCCATTCCATGAATAAAATTGTCATTAGTACCTACAGAGAGGGATCTGTAGAATTGTTTGTTACCTCTTGGGTTGGTCCCAGTGACTACTCCTGTATATCCTAAGATGAAAAAAAGAAAAAAAAACCCAGAAAATATAAAGTTGAGTCTTTGTTGAGAAAATCAAGACCGTCAAGTAAAATGAAATCTGCTGAGGTAATGTAATTCATCATTGGTATTTGATCATTCTGTGTGAGTTGAGAAAGGGCAATAAATCCGGATAGAATTGAAATCTTCAATTCTCAAAGGCTATTTTGGGAGAAAATATCTCTGTATTAACCTACAGTCCCTAATTCTGACTTGCCTACATGTGACTAGTACAGGATGCTAGGGAATAGATACGAAAAATAAATTTTTCCATTCTTACACTCTTAATTAATTTTACATATCCAATTGCATGGGACCTCTGCCTCCTCAGGCTGAAGGATCATGATTTCCAGGCTGATTTGATGTGATCTCAGAGGGAAGGACATGGCAAGACCTGCTACCTAAGCATATTTGTATCTTCCTGTCTGGGCACTGCACCCAGAAATCAGTTCCCTAGGCTGGTCAAGACTCAGCATGAAAGGTGACACCTCAGGACTCCAAGAATGGTCAGTAGGCTCCTCGGGACGAGTCCACCTTAGAGTCCATTGAAGATACCCTCAGGCTGATTCCCCCCCATCTCAGGGAAGAGATGCCCATGAAGGCTTGAAGCCTATTTCAGAAAGCCCCCCTGTGACGAGTCCACCTTAGAGTCCATTGAAGATACCCCTCAGGCTGATTCCCCCGCCCCATCTCGGGGAAGAGATGCCCATGAAGGCTTGAAGCCTATTTCAGAAAGCCCCCCTGTGAGCTAAGCATCCCATCTCCTCTGTCCCTCTCCTGGATCAGAGATGAGTCTGTGAGTTCTGGGGACAATGAGGCCACAGAGATCCCACATAACAAACATAACACACATAACACAAGTTACCTGTTGTATATTCCACCGTGGTTGCTTCTGTTGGAAAGATAACATCTATAGAGTGGAAAAAAAAAAAGAGGTCATCGGACATCGGTCCTCACTTGAGCAGGGCTAACCTAGCTCCCTCAGCTTGGGAGCTAGAGCTAGAACCGCATATCTCAAAGTCCTGCCATCTCTAAAACGCTCTGGTTTCTCCCTGTGAAATCAAGCACTGACCTTTCTCTTATTTAGAGCTGGGATGTCACCATTAGCACTTATCCTCCTCTGCTTCCAGTCCTCATCCCAAAACCCACTTACTCCATTAACAGCCCCAACCTAAGCCCAAATATCATCTGGCTACGTCTATCGGTCAAACACAGCCTCTCATTACAAACATTTGCCGTCCTTGAAATAGTCCAGAGAAAGTGATCCCAACAAGAAAGAATGGTGAGTTCCAGAGATCATTCCAGAATGGCAAAATAAACCCACTCATACAGCAGCTGATTGGAGGACCATGGTCCTTCTGGGGCCATTCTGAGGCAGGGTTTGTCAGCATGGTCACACTGTATTCACGGCACATGCACAGTCCCAGACCACACAGCAAGAGCCTGTGGGAAGTTCAACCAGCAAATCCTCTTTGAGGAGCACACCATGGGCTGGCACCCTGGGTGGCTTCTTTGTGGATTAAAGGATGCCTTGGTATTTCAGTGGGTGCCAGCACCATGTGATCAATGAGAAATAGCATCTTGGGATCTGTTGGGTAAATTTATCTTCTTCACTATGGTATATCTTTTGCTTATCATTTAATTCCCAATAGAGAGAACATATTGACCACACTTTGATTTGAATTTGGTGTGCATTTACATAGTAAGGACCACCAGTTACTTCAACGTCTCCTGCCTTTAAAGAAGAGAAACTACCCCTTAGGCCAAGGATGGTCTTGATGTCGCTCACCAGAGCCAACCCACTGAGGGGACAGAGACTGAAACCTGCCCTCTCCACTTCCTAGAGCCTCAATGTCTTCATCTGTGAAAAGGGACTCTGATACCTAGCCTCTAACATTAAATAAGGCATGACTCATAGCGGAGCAAGTAAATAGCATGTACTGTACATGTACATGTATGCGTACACACATACATGCATGTATATGATGTTGCCTTGGAGCATACATGCAACAACTAGAGGTGACAGCTGCACTACCTGAGCACACGACTCCGGCGTCTTCCTTGTGGCCACAGTCGTGGTTGTACCACCCATCGTGTTGACAATTGGACAGGTAGGACTCCTGTCCTGAGCAGTACACAGCTCCCAAGAGAATGTTCCCCGAGCCCTGACCAAAGTGGGCCTGTCCCAGGGCTGACACAGAATGGCCACAGCCGAGCTGCCGACAAACGACATCTGCATCGTGGGTGTCCCAGGTGTCGTCGCACACGGTGCCCCAGTAGCCTTGGTACAGGACCTCCACCCGGCCCTGACACCGATCACCGCCATTCACCAGCCTCAGAGGCAAACCTGCATTGACACAGTGGAACTGTCCTCATGGCACACTCAGCTCTGCTGCTCCTGTGTCTCGTACCTGCACCTCCTTTTCTCCCTCCTCCTCCTCTGCTCCCCAGTGCCATCATACCATTCCCCACCCCAGGCCTTAAACATCGCTGTCATCACCCCTTCCCACTTTCTTCCATCCCAAGTCCTCTGAAGACTATCCAAACATGGGTTTCTCAAAGTCACCTCTGGCCCTGACAGTCCCTGCTCTGAGCTGTAAACCCACATCCCATCCACCTCCAGGAGGTCTCATCCCTACCCCCAAACTCAGACTCTTTCCTCCACTGAGATGCCTGATGTCACCATGTTCCACACCAAGTGTGCTGGGCACAGGGACATTGGTTTGATGTCTCCTCGCCACCTCTACACCCAGCTGTCACCAAGGCTCTTAATCCTACCGCTGTCTCATTAGCTTATTAAACCTCCATCTTGTTGAACCTGTGCTGTGTTGGAGTCTTTCAGTTCAGCTCCCTAGCCATGCCCTTCCCTTATCGAATCCTCGCATATCCGGTGTTCAGCCAGACTTTCTGAAAGATGTGCTCTGTGCCCATTGCTAACCTGAGGACTCATCCATATCCAGTGGTTGGTCCTTAGGTTTCATCTTGACAAACTACATACATACTTGAGGCACTTTCTTGTTCAGAGTGATTCACCATCCTCTCGGCCCTCATCGAGGTCAACGGTAATCATCCAACAAGAGGCTTCCACCTACTTTTCCAGTCTGCTGTCCCACCCTAAGGATGGGCACACCTGGAGAGTCAGCAGGCACCATGTTTCTGCCTGGCATAGTGCCCTTAAGTCACCCACAGTGAAAAACCGTGCCTGGGTAGCCCAGCATCCTGACAGCAGGATCTGGGTCCTGGTTATGGTTTGCTGTAGCTGTTTTGCAGTTCTGAACTCTGTAGCAGGTTGGGATGAGATGCAAGAGAGGGGCAGGAGGTTGCTGTTGCCGGGGGTGTTCAGGGGAGGGAAGGAGCAAAGGCCAGCTGAGATTGTTCCAGGGTATCCCCTACACAAACAAAGCCTGTTTGAGCTTTCTTGCTGCGTTCTTCTGGTCACTCTGTGACTGTCCCCCTAGAGAACTCTCCCTGCCTCAGCCTGACCCTTTACTGGATGTTGATCACTTCACATCTCTCAAGGCAGGTGCTGAAAGGGGAATGGCTGGTTCAGCATGCCAGAGGCACATAGCCAGAGTCAGTTGTCCTAGGTGACCTGACCCATCAAACTTGGACACAAATGTCTGTACACTTTCAGTGAGGAGTAGGG